CAATATTTTCACTTATACGCGCCTAGGTCTCGCGCACGAACCGTTCCCCCTCCCAAAAAAAACGAACTTCTTTGGCAGGAAACGATTTCGCGAACCAGAAAAGATAGGAAGTTGAAACTTTGCAGAGATATTCTCTGTGCATATGTGAGCTAGGGAGTTCAAATTTAGCTATCGCACACGCCTGTACCACACGTATAACATCAAATTTCGCAACTGGCACTGTGCTAATTTGAAAACTAACCGGAAAACAGAAGCTGAAATCTTGTCAGAGTATTTATCATTCATATGGGAAATCGTATACCTAAACTGAGTTCCGGCCTGCACTTTCGTCACGACTTACGGCGCTTTAAAGATATTTGTAGCGAAGCGGCTATTTGTCTTACCAGGCAAGCTGCGAAGCTGAAACTTTGCAAGGATATTCTACATTTACGTGTGGTCTTAATTCAGCTTGAAGGTGAAATTCTTCATGCGCAAAAATGACAAATACTCAGTTTTATCGCAAGCTCAAAAGCGAGTGAATTTTGCAGATTTCATAATTCCTTTCCGATTCCCTTCGAATTTGCACTTTTTAAAGAGCAAACATTCACCAAAAAACGACCGGGTTTCAAGGGAAAAACTGATAATCGTGCACCAAGAGGTCATGCGGCGCTGTAATGCAACACCTTCATCCCACCAATGCCCTTTCCACTGCATGTCCGAAGTGGACAAAACACAACCAATATGAGTCCAAATGTTAGGCTACAACGCAGGTATCACTTCTGCTGTTAGCGATCTGCAAATTTAGCGCAAAAACGCATGATCACACCAGCAAGCCTAGTGCGTTCCAGCTCGGGTTGTTACAAAATGTCTGAAATTAGTTTGCGGTAGGCCTAAACGTTAACTTCTCCTCGCACTAAACCACATACTCCATCCGAATATTAAGGCTACGCTCTGGCATGAACAATCAATAAACACAAAAGTTTACCAATTTGACGCCTGGCATTGACAACTCCAGGATTTCTATTTACATTGCCCAGCGCTCCCAGACAAAACCTTTCCGCTTGAGACGGTGCACAGAAACCATCAACGATGACATGCGACGTGCCACCTTTGAACGGCTCACCAATCTAAATTTATTACTACTACAGACATCTCTATATGCATCTACAACTTTAGGCTGCTGTTGTAGGATGAATTCGCAAACCGCCTTCTCCGGAAAATCGACAGAATATCAAACAACTTCATCGATGTGTGTGTGTGTGTGTGTGTGTGTGTGTGTGTGTGTGTGAAACATGGCAAGGAACCGAACACAACGTAATCTGGAGAGATGAAACACAGGCTGGGACGCACGGGGCGGGCCCATGCGATCATGCGTTTTTGCACCGGACTTGAAAGCACTCAGGTCATTGACTGCATGAGTGGTTTTGCTTTACACCTACGTTTTGTCGCCACTAGCATAAATCACCATAAATTTTGCAAAGTAAATGTACAGTTTCCAATTAATAGTCGTTCTTTAAGAGTAACCTAGTTGTTCAGTGAAAAATTTTTTCGTCAAGACTTTTAAGTGCCCGTACGTAAAAACCACGCATACCTCAAGCTGGATTTGAAATACTTATGTTGTATTTAGATAAGGAATATCCCCTCAAAATTTCAGCTTTCCTGCTTTTCTGATTACCGAGTTAGCGATTTTCCCGTCAAAACTTTCACATACCCGTACGCGGGTACTCCACATGTCTGGAAAGCTGAATTTGAAATTTTCGAATTGCACTCGAACAGGGAATATCCCCTTAAAATTTTAGCCTTCCAGCTCTCCTGGTTGCCAAATTAGTAATTTTCCTTCAGAAACTTCCATACGCCTTTATGTGAGTACCACGCATGGTTTGGGGCTGAACTTAAAACATTTGAGTTGTACTTGGATAGGGAACATCACCCCAAAATTTCAGCTTTCTAGCTTTCCTGGTACCCGAGTTAGCAATTTCCTCTCTAAAACTTTCATACGCCTTTACTTCAGTATCATGCATACCAAGGGGCGGAATTTGAAATATTTGAGTAGTGCTTGAATAGCGAACATTACTCCAAAATTTCAGCTTTCTAGCTTTCCTGGGTACTCGACTTAGCAATTTCCTCCTAAAATTTTCATACGCTCTTAAATGAGTACCACGCACATCTGGGGGCTGAGTTTGAAATCTTTAGCTAGTACATGCATAGGGAATATCCCTACAAAGTTCCAGCTTCTTAGTTCGTGTGGTTCCCGAGATGATTTTCCCGCCAAAAAATTTGCATACTTTTTTTGAAGCGTCTGTACGCGGCACCCAGGCTTCCGCGGGGGATGAAATTAAAACGAGAGGGTCGCACATGGTATAGGCACATATACCCAAAGTTTCAGCCTTCTAGCTTTTCTGGTTCTCGAGTTGAAAGTGGGTGACAAAAAGTGCGAACACACAGACGCACACACATACACACACGCACATACACACAGACAGCCTCTTCCCAATATACGTTTTTGCAATTTACATATATGCAAAAACGCATAAAAATGATTTTTCTCGGCTCTGATGGAGGAATAAGGAATGTTGGCAAACCTAGATTTACTGTCAGCAGGCAATGGTCTCCACAAATCATCTATTGCCAGTTCTAGTTATCACGAATCGACGTACTCCTCCTTAAGCTAAATTTTAGTGAAACCCTCAAAATCGTCCAAGTCTACGCCCCCCACAGCCAACGG